TTTTTTTCTTCACCTCTTCTCTTCCTTCTGCTCTCTGCCGCTGCTTCCCCCCAGGCTGTGAGTGTTGATGGGCGCTTAAACTGAGACCCAGGCATTTTCAGTTGCAGTCGGGTGGCGCGGCACAGCAAGCATGCCCGAGCCGAGCAACGACTACCGAGTGGTCGTGTTCGGAGCGGCCGGCGTCGGCAAGAGCTCCCTGGTGCTCCGCTTCGTCAGGGGCACCTTCCGGGAGGCCTACGTGCCCACGGTGGAAGACACCTACCAGCAGGTGATCGGCTGTGACACGAGCGTGTGCACCCTGCACGTCACCGACACCGCGGGCAGCCACCAGTTCCCCGCCATGCGGAGGCTCTCCATTTCCAAGGGACACGCCTTCATCCTGGTGTACTCCGTCACCAGCAGGCAGTCCATGGAAGAGCTGCAGCCCATCTACGAGCAGATATGTCAGATTAAGGGGGACATCCGAAAAACCCCCATCATGCTGGTCGGTAACAAAAGCGACGAGAGCCAGCGGGAGCTGGATGCCCTTGAAGGGGAAGCCTTAGCCGGCAAGTGGAAGTGCTCCTTCATGGAGACCTCGGCCAAAATGAACTACAACGTCCAGGAGCTTTTCCAGGAGCTCCTGAACCTYGAGAAGAGAAGAACTCTCAGTCTCCAGGTGGATGGAAAGAAGTGCAAGCAGCAGCAGAAGAAGGACAAGCTCAGCGGGCAGTGCTCCGTTATGTGACGGGCTTTGTGATTCGTGAGGCCGCGTGGCGCGGCGGGAGCGTGGGCTGCACGTGTGCCGGCGSCTTGCGAGGAACCCGGGGCTTACAGGGATGTCCCCTTCCTGGGGAGCATCGGTTGGGTCGCTCTGCGCTGGTTTTGGAGAGAATGGCTTTTTGCATGGTGTCTTATTGCTTTTGAAATAAGCATTCAGTGTTAGTCATKACATGTGATTACAAGTTCTTAAGGCAAGAACTTGACAGAAGAGAACAATCTTGGTGTTATTATCTTAGTTATCTTTATTTTTGTGAATACCTGCTAGTTTTTAAGTATCTTCAGATTGTGTTACCCTGGAAAAAATCGCGTTACTTATTTGTATATGTTCAAATTTGTTGAGAAATATATTGGCAAGAGCAAATCTTCAGCAATGCTGGCTATCTGCACTGCAAATGAGCATAAATGTGACTCTTTAGGCACTTGCATTTTGGGGGAAAATTGTCTAGTCTACCAAATGCATATAATTTTTTTTTTTCTCCATGGTAGAAGTTAAGGTTTCCTGTATGCATTACACAGCTCCTGATATCTCTGCAGTTCCGTGGATGATTAAAGCTCTCCTTGCATGTGGTAATTGGGCTGTTTGCTCTTATTTCACCTGATCAACAAGTCACCTTTGCAATGCCCTTTGAGCTGGCCTTTGGTTCTCCTTTTAGCCTTTTCTCASCTCTATTCATTGGTGCCAGGGTCAGTCCTGTAAGGCTGATATCATCTTCAGGACTTGGTCMCTGCAGGTAAAGGAGACCTGGAGCTGAAGGAGCTCAGGTCTTCTTGTAGCCTGGATAGCAGATAGAAAAGGGCAGTTGTTTTTTTTTCCTTTTACACGTGAACCTTAATGGGGTTAATGTTCTGTGCTCTGTATGGCACACACCAGCCATGCTCCTAGAAGAGGTTTAAAAGGTAAATCAGCCTCCCTACCCAAATACAAGGGGTCTGTTAGTTCTGCTTGTAGTGTGTACCAAGGGAAGCTGCCCCCTTTGGAGCTGGAGCTTTCGTGCTTTTGGATTCAAGAACAAAGAAAAGCTCATTTATGATTTCAGAAACTCAAACATGTGCTGCCTGAATGCTCTATACAGACTGAAATACTCTGCATTTTTCTCTCCTGATTCATACTTAAAACTAGTTGTCAATGTAACGTACGGATTTGCCAGATTGATTCAAGGCGCTATTTCTGGTTTTTTGTTTGTTTTTCATGGGAGATGGTCTCCCACAGGTCCTGGAAGCTCCTGTGCCAGAGCTGTGTTGCTGTCCCGAGTTCTCTGCCGTGCTGTGCAACCGGTGTCGAGCCGGGCCGAGTCTGACCGGGATCCCYCGTGTTAACCCAGGGGAGCTCGGTCCCCGCAGCGCCAGGCAGATCCCTGGCTGCCCCGCCAAGGGAAACGTGCAGGGTCCGGGCTGGGAGCCGGGGAGGGTCCAGCAGGAGCGAGCGGGGCGCGGAGGGAGGTGTCGCCGTGGCGGGATGCGGGGCCTCCGGAGCGGCTCCGCCGCGAGCGGGAGCTGCTGYGGCTGCCTGTAGCGCCCCGCAAATGTGCGTTTAGTTGTGTGAGGCCAAGTCTGTAAAGCAGGGCTTCCGTATAAACTGAGCCAGCTGGGTTCTGTGTGTGCAATGCACTGTTCTTATAAGATGGAAAATGTGTTTTAATAGAACTGACTTCCATTTAGATGATGGCTATTAAAACTTCCACAGAAATCTAAATTAGAAGGGATTTCTAATCTGTATCTGTACAACATACCAGGGAACTTTCTCAGAATAACTAGCTGCTAGAAACGTAGTGTTGCTCTGGCTCTACTAGTGAATTGTTAAAAAACAATGGCAATGTTCCCCTTCGAAATTGGAGCTATTTCGCAAGCCTCGTGTTTGAGCCCATCTTCCCTGGGATCGAGACTGGGAAGGCTGCTGCACATGGACCCCGGTGTCACTCGGAGCTTGGTGCTGCTACAGCCGGCTCGCCTGGGCTCATGCTCCTATTCCGGAGTGATGATACAGCGCCGAGCTATGGAWGTCACAGAATAACTCATGGGAAAATATCTTTGTTTGGTTGTTTTTTAGAAATAATGAGTAAGGGTTTTGCTAAAACCAGACTAATTAGCATGCATCTGTTTCAGATGGCATTTGATGGAGGGGGGATAGTGATTAGGAGGCTTTTGATGACTTACGGGAATAACGGGCCTCCTTTAAAGATTCATGCTTTGTGGTATAAGGAGTGCAAGCCTGAGGTAAATAGTTTAGTCTTCCCCGAGTAAGTGCAATTTAAAAAAGAACAGATCTGTTTAAACGTTTCTGATGAAAGACATGTGGAAAGCTTGCCTGGGGCGGGGAGCGCGCAGGCTGGTGCTTCACGTAACGCGGCACAGCGTGGCCCTCGGCTGCTGCCTGCCAAGCGCGTGTGTGTTCAGGCGGCAGCGATGACGTGTTCTCGGCAGGGCTATTTATACATCCRTGAGCCCCGGTGCGGCGCGGGCGCCTGCCCTGACGTGGGGCTCGTATCCGGCGCCCGGGACCGCTGCGCTCCGTGCCTCACCTTGGCTGTTCTTGCCGTGTCTGCATTCATGCCGCTGGCGTCAAACCTGGATGTTTTTCAGAACTGCTCCTCATGCACTTAGATGCGGGGAGACAAGGTCAAGGAGGGAGCTCATACAGCTCATGCACTGCTATTAATGTCTCATAGCTTCTCTCCGGGATCAACAGGTGAATACAGCTGGCAGATTAAAAACAACATGAGAAAAAAAAAACAGTGCAAAGTCTAAATGAAGCGTGAGACCCGTGAGGACGTGAGTGCTGCGCGCAGGCTGCTGCCCCGGGACGCTCTGCCCATGTAGCTCGTTGCCCTTTATCTTGGAGCACCCGACACGGTTTGGCAGCTGAAGCTTCCACCAGATACGTGCGTACTCCTACCAGCAACTTAACCCTGTGTCTTTGGGATCCCCACCAGCGCAGTGGCAAGCCTTACTGCTTTAGCAAGGAATAGCAGAGGCGATGAGAGGACTTGAGCTGCCTTTTTGCTAATTCCTCTGCTTATTTGCTATATTTAGTGTAACTTACAGGTAGCCCAGGAGCCTTCTCCTCTTCACAGGTCATTTTTCTTTGGTCCTACAAGTGTAGACTAGCTGCCAAACTAAAACAACTGTTGCTCAGTGTTTGGGGACAAGAGGCAGGTCCTGCTTTGMCAGAGCTGGCAGCCCATGGCTATGTGGCTCTGAGTCCTCCTGGCTGTGTCTCCTGCCTTCCTAGGAGAGCCCAGACCTGCCACCAACCACGGACCTACAGGGGGTCCCAGGGCTGCTCCAAGCTGGGGGCAGAGCGGAGTTCTTGGAGCATTAATACAGCCTTTCCTAACATGTGCCTCAARCCTGCCCAAAGGTTGGCCTAAATTTTGCTATTAATGGGTTCCTTGCGTTCTACTGCCGTAAAGCTCATAAATAGCCCTCAGAAAGTTCTCACAGCAGTGCCCAAGCTCACCCCCGATGCCACGCCAGCCAATGCGCAGATTGGAGAGCGTCGCATTGGAAGTGTTTTTATGGGCACGGATAATAGCACTGCAGGCCCTCGGCTTGCTTGTTTGCTGGAGAAAAGCAAAGCGTTTGTGGCAGCGTTCATTTTAGAGGCGTGCCAAGCTTCCTCCTCGGCCGTCCAAGACCTTGAGCGTTTCTGCACTAGCGCTGCTCGTTCCCATGCAGCGCCCGTAGCCTGGCTTGAGGCAGCTCCCTCCCGAAACGCGGCCAGAGAAGCCGGAGTCGAGAGCAAATGCGAGCGAGGAGGCTGGCAAGAGCACTCTGCAAGCTGCAGAAGGGAACACGAGCGGTCGTGTGGGTGTCCACACACGTGAGCGTTTTAAAAATAAGGCAGCCGGGATATTGCTGCTTTGTTCTGATTCCCCTTCCCAGAGCAAAGCAAGCACATGACTGGTGTAACGGAGTGATCTGGAAAACTGGCAGTAGCTTCATTTGCCTGTTCTGTAGCTGCAAGGTACTTGGAGTGCTCTAGAGGAGTAAAAACCCATTTTAATCATCTCCTGCCATCATCTTCCACAATCTGCCTCCTGCCTCCTTCCACAACGAGCTGGCGAAAATGGGAAAGACTGTTTAAAACCAACCACAGTGCAGCAAGCCCCCTTCTAATACATACTGCTGAATGCTGGGCTAGCATTGCCTTGCCTAATAGTCTGAGCTGTCTGAGCTATACAGTTTGTAAGAAATTGGGTGCTGATCTAGAAAAATCAATGAATAGATAGTTGGTCCTCCAAGAAAGCAGCTGTGGACAGAGATAACTGCTATTGATGATGTAAGTAAAATGCTAATTCCGGAGCAAAGCACATGTTTATCCCTCACACTGCACAGGTAACGATGTGTTATGGCCACGGCCGTGAGCAGATCACCGTAGCTCCCGCTGCAGGCAGGAGGTGTTTCCCACGCCGTAAACGCTGCCGTGGTGCCGGCCCATGCCACAATGAAGCCCTTGTGCTCCCAGCATCAGCAGCCCGGGGGTCCCTGGACCCCTGCCCAGGCCACGGGCTCGTGGGGTGAGAGGTGGGACCGACTCAAAGGGCCTCAAGGCGGTTGCACCAGCCGAGACGAAGCAGCTGCCGCCTGCAGCGGTGTCGGTGCTACCTAGGAGAGGCTCAGAGGTCGTTTTTATGGCTCCGCAGCCATAAACACACAGAGCTTGTGCAGTAAAGAGCAGCCGCCGGCGTGCGGCGCAGCCGCAGGCTCCTGTGCCGAGTGCGGCAGAGGAGGGAGCTGTGTCCCAAATTCTCCTTGTGTTTAGACAAAGCTTTTCCAGGAGAAAAGAACATGAGTTTTATGAAATTCTCTGCCATATCCCGGTTTTCAGTTTCTATTCCTCATGGACAGGGCTGGGACTAAGCAATCCCTGGAAGATAAGAGCAGAGCGGGTGCATGTGGGAAACACGGGAAGCTCTGCAGAAGCTCCATGTTCCTGCCCACCAGGACTGCCGGCTGCACAGCGCTGTGAGGATCAGCAGAGATCCTGGAGATGTGGATCATGGCTGGTAATGCGCGTGATGGAGACAGGATTTTGGAGAGTGTTTCCTAGGACTTGCACCAGCCGCAGCACTGTGCCGTGCACGGGCACTGGCTTCCCCAGCCGGCCCCTGGGACCCTTAGCACCATGCCGGCAGAGCCGAGGGCCTTTCTCCTTCCTTGAGGAATGAGTATCATGCCCACGGAGGCCCCAGGCTTTGATTTGTGCCTGCAATGAAGGCCGGGGTTCGCCGCAGTCGCTGGCTGCTCCACAGTGTGCTTCCCCCACCAGCATCATCTCTCCCTGAGCAGAGGCGCCCGCTGGYGCGTTGGTGCAGGCAGAAAGGTCCGTGTGGGCTGCTCTTTCCTGAATTAGCTCCATTTTGCCCCTAGAGCCCCTTGTTCCTGCTCTGCACATAGCAAAAGCGTCTAATCCGCGGGTGGGAAGCGGGCAGATCGTGTTCAGGAAATCTCCTGGCAGGAGAGCGAGGGTGG